TTATAGCGGAGCTCCCGCGCGGGCCGAAGGCCCGCGCGAGCGGAGCACCATAACTAAGGAAAAATGGTAAACCCATGGGGTTGAGTTTTGATCAACCGACACAGGAAGCCCAGTTGTCCTTCCGTACGTCCGTCCGTCCGTCCGTGTACATCGCGATTCTGATTGGCTACTTTTGAGAAAGCGGGAAAAGGAAGCGCGCTCGCGTCAATTTTTGAAACAACTTTTTCACCACAACGACGACACAACGACTCCATTTTTGTCCTTTGAAATACTTTACTTCTGCGACAAATGTCGGAAAATCAACGGGTAAATAACGGAAAGCGATCTTTATCTGAAGAGGAACAGACAAGAAGAAGAGAAAGAGAGCGTCGAAGAAGTCTAAGTGAAGAACAACGCAGGCTTGAAAGGGAGAGAAAACGTGATAGACGAAACAATTTAAGCTTAAAGACTCAAGCAAATCGAGAAACAAGTGAACGCCAAAGACAACGATTATTGAGGGAGAATTTCTCATATTAGGAGAACTGACATATTCTCCGACGATACCGTGGCGYTATTAAACAAATGGCGGTATGTTAGATTATAAGCTTACATGCAAGCGGTTTTTGGTGCTCAATTATATCAATTCTTCTACTTCAAGAACCTTATAAGACTTAATAGGCAGTTTTAGTCTGGTTTAAATTTGCTTTTGAATTTGAAAATCTTTACCTGATACACTTCAAAACTTCTCAATTAAATGAGCTTGTTGACAATGAAAATATGTGTGAATTGTGTGTACATTCTATTGGTGTAAGCAAAAGTGTGTAACATTTTCATTATAAGATCAAAAATTTTGAACATTTCAAGAACATATTAATTATTAATTTATGATTTATGCATGATTGAATAATACCAAAACTGTCAAAATGCATTTATATTACTTTATGATTCCTGTAAAGATTGAAAACTAAATACCAACTATTAAGAATTTACAAAAAAAAATTGCAAACAATTTCAATCTATTGACATACAAAGATGCATTTGTTATTATTTTTATTACTGTATTTCTGCATGATTGAAAAATTTCAACTGTCAATTCAAAATGCATTTAATAATATATATAAATCCTGTATGATTGAAAAGTCAAAGTTTCAAAATATATTAATAATTTATATTAATTTATGATTTCTGTAATCGGAGTACAAACATTAAATGTGTGCAATACTTTCCACTATTTAGTACAAAATAATGTTAATTAAACAATAGAAAACAATAGAATTAGCATAATTTAGCAGTATTTAGTRGTATYTWTGTTGCAMAGTTTTAGTGTTTGTACTCTATMTAAAGAAGTTTTATTTTGGTAAATAACCTAAATCATGTTTTTAGCATTATACATGGTGTACTCTTCATAAGAAATTGTGCGCTATCTGAATGCACACAATACCACAAGAATTCAAAATAAGTGGTTTTCTTTACATATATTTATTGGCCATTTCGACGTTGCGCAGGGGACTGGGCACTAATCAAAGAAATATTGATCTATTCACGAAACAAACCCCACCAGTTGAAAGGACACCCAAAAATTAGTATATATACCAAGTTTCAAAACGTTTGGATAAAAACTAGCTGAACAGTATTTATTTCTAGTTTCATCAAATTAACAGAGAATGTATTGTTTTGGGGGACGCGGTCAAAATCCCCATACATTCTCTGTAAATTGCACGGCTTCTCATTAATTGAATATTTGTCCAAATGATCTGTAACTTGGAACCTACACTAAAGTCGATAAAGTCTTTTTAGCGATATGGTTAGTTTTTCGATTGGCTCAATATGACAGAAATTACAATTCATTTTATAACATAAAAATGGCTAATAGNAAGGATTTTACTTTGATATTTCGACAACAAAAAGAGATGATACTTTATTGGAAATACTTCAATAATATGGACCAATATGGGAAAAAGCAGGGATCTATGCGAAGTTCTTTTGTCGACTAAAAGTGTGGACATTTCGAAACCAAAACCATGCTAGCAGTTAGATTGAGAGAGATTAAAAAAAAAGAATCTACAGTCTTGAATGACTTAATAAATTGATGAAACCTGTGCTAAAAAACAAGTATGGCTCTGTTGAAGATGACCTTTGAACGATAATTTATCCGAAGTTCGATAATGAAGGTAAAAAGTATATTTTTGTATAAGTTACAGTTTTCTGTGATATGTGAAGTTCGAGTAGTCCGGGTTCAAACATCGATTATTGAAAAAATGTTGATTATTGTATGCTTATGTAGACTACTTTTTGCCGAGAAGCTTTCAGTTTACTTTTAATTATAATTTTAAACTTCATCCAACGGAACAAAATCTACCGAAGTCAATATAATAGTACGAACTAAATTCTCATAAACACACTCTTTATAATATTTGTTCGCATGTTAACAAAACTGTTGTAGCTCACATTCCTTAGAACAGAGCATCTACCTTTGAAATAGCAGTACTAGATAATCATTGTCAGCTTCTATATTGCTGTTGGAGCTCCGCTATTAGGTGTTACCTAATTTTTATATTATCTTATTAGCCGAGTGCGAGGACTCAGTGTCAGCTGCATGTATTATAGTTACGGACCAGTATTCTTCAACTGCCATAAAAACGGAATTATAACAGTGTGATCCATAACCTGCTGTTCGAACTCAGATTTCAAGGTGCAAGTTAATAGGAGATTATTGCATAGTGTAGACATGACAGTTTCTCATTTGCATGACTGTTGCCAGTACAAATGGAAAGGCTTTTATTTAGGCGGACATTTGAGAGCGCCTTTGACTGCCAGTCAAAGCATGGATAATGAAATACCTCGATTTATCATATAATCATCTATTTTAGGGAATACATGCAGCATTAAGACGACAGCTGGAAAATGCTGCCTTTTCCCCTTTACGTACAAGGGTAAAAAGTATTTCAGTTGCACTAGCATCGACCACAATAGGAAATGGTGTTATACCACCGATAATTCGCCGAAAGACAAGAAAAGGAAATGGGGAAACTGTCAATGTAGGTGCAAGCATAACGTGTATGGTGATCACAATTAATATCTTAATATCCAAATGGGAGAAGTCAGTGCCAATTTGGCAGTCCGAGGAATTTTTCCAAATCTAATTATTTCCTAATTGGACAGCACGGAATCCTATTAACTATTGATTATATATCCGCATATTGTTTCTAAATGTTCAATTAAGATAATATTTGGATAGATGCCTATTTAGGATTAACAAGTGGATATATAATTAATTTGAAAATACATTCACAGGCAACTTGCAGTGACTGCATAGATTTTCATTAGACTTTATCTTTGTTTATTTTAGTATTCACTTCTCTAATTCCATTTTTCTATTTTTTGTTTAAGAAATCACAGGCACAAAGGCGCAGCAAGGACAACCAAAGATAAAACAAGTTGCATTAAACTAGTTAAGAAATATAGTAAACGTTGTAGCAAGTAACAATACAGTAATAAAGTAGAACAGTAAACTTATTCATTGCTCTTGTGTTGACCGAAATTAAAATACGTGTCATCTAGTAGTGTTTCGCTACAAAAGGACCATCTACCCATTTACCTTGTCTTACCACAAGTACATACTGTGGAGACACTCTGCAATCTTCTCAGCGAATTGTCTCCAAACGGTACTGCTTATTTTCGACTTATATATTTCTCTTAAAAAGACAAAAATTCTTCTTTCAAAATTGAAACGATAATAATACAATTATTGAATTGTTCTTTTTAAATAAAAAAAACTCGAATGATTACATTTTTTACATTTTGGATATTAGCAAAACCTCATTCAATGCAATCACTTTTTAAAACTGCAATCGGAACAGCTTATTTTCGCCCCAATTCTCAGTTTATTACAAGACGAACTGTGCACAACACTATTTAGGGACTGCACAAAATGTATTCGGGGGGGGGGGGGGGGAGTTGAGAAATGAGCAAGAAAATTAAAAAAAGTTAACCCCCTCGCAAACGAAACAAATTACGCTCTGTCTCCTCCATCTATACTAGCCGTAAGCTGAGTGATGTTCTTAGTCTGAAAGAACCAAAGCCCTCTCTGATCAACCAACAGTGTGTGCTCTACAGGTTTTCATGTTCTCTCTGTGTGGTGCAGAATATATAGGCCTGACAACTCGTGATTTGTTTCAGAGAATAGAAGAACACTGTCGGGGCTCCTACTCGATCTGAAAACACTTACATAGAGATCATGGCGTTGACGTAGGACTATCATTTTTTTCTAGTAATATTGACAAATATTTTATGGATGTGATTTTTGCATATTTATCGAAATCGAACAGATCAATTTGTTTTCAAGTGTTCCAAAAACGTTGTTCAATAGTTTGAAGTTAATGATGATGTCTACCGCTTTTCTGGATCTCAACCGATTTTTTTGAGATATTTGGCAAAATCGAATTTCGACAAAATGCGATTTCCGTTGCCTAGGTAGCGTTAATGTAGTTGAATATTATGCCAAACAAAACTTTGATCAATGCTTTATTACTGGTCCAAACGCTAAATAAATCGGTGTATGGTAAGATTTTTAAAAAAACGAATTTAAGAGGAGAGGTATGGTCGGAAAAAATTATAGGAAGAAGCCACCTTAAATCTAGGGCATTTGGCTGTAAGAGTTGCGCTTAGAAACTGCATCCTCCTCGAACTGTTTTCTTTATTTTTTTTTATTTTTTATTTTTTTTTTTCGAATCATCCAGTTTCCTCAGGCAACTATCATAGGATAATCTCCAGTTAACTTCCCTAATGTTAAATATATCTTCTTTATACGATTTTGAAAATTGAATATATAATTGTCCAAACAGAAACTGAATTGATAAAAAACGAAAATAATCTGACTTTAAAAAAACTTTCATTTAATTACCCAAATACACTTTTTTGGATTTTTTAAAATTATTTCAAAAACTCATTAATTATTCATGAGGTATTCAGCCAATCCCTGTTTGTAATTTGTACCACGTGAAGTAACTTGAAACCAGAGGAAGTACTCGTACCTTGTATTCTACCTTATTTCCAGTTACTTCTACCTTTTTCAAGTTACTTCTACATTATTTCCAGTTACTTCTACCTTATTTCCAGTTACTTCTACCATGTTTCCAACTACTACTAGCTAATGATAATCAAATTATTAGAAATAATCAGTTTAACATTAATTTAGTGAAAAAAGGTCTTTGATACATGACTCCCTCACGACTCGATCCCCTACCGTCCAGCCTATATGCTCCGTCTTATACCATTACGCCACCGTGTTTATGATGCGATTCCTCGGAAGATAACATACTTATAAATCTTATGGATTAGACTCATTAGGAATGCCATGAATAGCAGACAAAGACAATTTGAATAGCTTTTGTTTCAGAAAGCCGTCCGGGAATTGAAGAACAACAAACGGTGCTTCATGCATTCAAAATTATGAAAACTGAAAACCTTAGTGGAGATGCAATAAATCAATATATTTCTGTTATAAACCCCGTCAAGTCCTCATTGTCGGCCTTTAAACATTACTAAAATGTTTCTTTTTCATTGTTATGCATTCTGCGAACAGTTAAAATCTTGTGCTCGCAGGTATATTATAAAGGCCGGTTTACTTTTGCGAATTTTGCAGTGCGATAATCGCCAATTTGCCATCGCGCAACTAAAATTGCACTTGCAAACAGCCCAACAATTGTTTCGACGTTGAAAAATCACCTCCCGATAAGCAGCCAATTTTCAAGCATGTCCAAACTCAGGCGATGGTCGCGCGACAATCTCGCTGCATAAAATCGCAAATGTAAACTGACCTTAATGTGACATCGCTTGTGCATTTTAATGTAAATAAAGCTTTTTAATTGATTGACTATCCCTTTTTAACGACATCCTGTACGAACGAACAAGTTTTAACAAGAGTTTGTTTATTTTTCAACCTAAGTATCGATCAGCTTTGGACCACGAGCTATTATTGTTGTTGGATATTGTTGTACGTTTGAACCATTTTAGTTTGATCCGATTCTCTTGATGAAGCCTTCAATCATGAAAACGTTGATAGCCATGGCGTTTTTGTTCGTTGTAACCGTCGCGACAAAAGAGGAAGAATATTTTCAAGGTAGTGTATTCAAAAAGGCATAATAAAACTTACAAACAGGTCTGCAGCTTCCCTGAGCTACGCTGCTTAATTGACGAAAGATGTAAATTAAATTATGTTTTATGGTTGAGGTTACTTGCACAAGGCTCAAAAAGTCACTTTTTACTAGTTATATCGGCGAGGGATCTGTCGATGGAGGCCTTGATTCACAAAATACAGTAACACAATACATACTACCTTGATTGATTCAGATATATCTATTGTATCTATTCAAAAAACGATTATGCCAATATAATATAATTACAATATAATAACTCTTATGCTTACGATATTTGTTTCAGATCCACAAGAAAGTGTTGCAAAACGTGGTTCTTTGAGCAAGGACATCTTGAGTACCATCAGTTGTCGATACTTGAAAACCAAGGGTTTCTTGACCACAAGCACAAAGTTGAGAAAGCTTTGCCTCACGACTTTCCGTAAGTAGCGTTTCTTTCTCTTTCACGTTCTTTCTCTAGTAATCACCATGATCAACCTAAATTAAATTTAAAATTTAATTTAATTTAGACAACATTTATGATGCAGATTTACATTTTCTCGAAGCATTTCAATTTCTTAATCGTGTTAAGTTATTTTTATAAAAATTATATTAAGGCAAGCATTGATTGACCTCCAAAGCCTGCTATCAGTATGGCTTGATAACCCATTCTGTTTGTTTACGACTGTGAAAGCTTATGTTCTTATCCTTGATAGATTGCAACGACGTCCTTTCAAAGMAAAGCTGCAAAATCATCAAAGGAAGAAACGAATGTAAAAAAGATCAAAAACTTAGTCTGACGTACTGTCGTTTTACTTGCAACAAATGTGGAGGTGAGTAGGAACAATATAAAAGTTTTTATTATTTTCATTGTAAAGAGTCATTTTTATTAATTAATTAATAAAATTAAAGTGACTCTTTAAAATGAAAATAATAAAAATACTAGCAAAAATTAAAAATAATAAAAATTCATTAATTGAAATATTTCCAAATGACGTCTTTTACTTTATTTTGACAAAATAACTGAGAATTTGTTCAGCTTTATTCAACTTCGAGACCCTCTTCCCGCTTTTATGGACTGCGCAATATTTATCAGGAGTACGTGGGAGTAGAGAATCGAGAAGGAGTAGG